ATAACTATCATTCAAGACTCTGGGTCGAGCCACAAAGACAGTGTTGGGGCACAGGTGATCTCTGGGATTGCCTGATGTTTAAAGTCTCTGGGACCACTGACACTGTCAGACCAGATGATCTCTGGGATTGTCTGATGTCGAAATGAAAGTTAGATAGCGATGTGAAAGTTAGATGAAAGCATGATAGAATACTACTAATTTGTGAAATTATTATTTTAGGGTGACAAATCAGATAAAAAAAAGGCCAGGGAATGGGAAAAGGCTCGTTCGTGTATGCGGGTTCATATCGATCGTCGAATTTTAAGTGGGGTAACATTCAATGGTGCAATTAATAATATAAATGGAAGCATGAGTGGTGGAGTGTGCAATGTAAAATCTACGCCAAAGAGAACTAACCAAGAAAAAGTAAAGACACGTAGTTTTTTTTTAACTAAAACTATTTTTTGTTTCTAACTAATGGCAATTTTCAATTCTTAGGACGATGATAAAGTCCAAAAACGGACTAGGATCAATGAATATTTCCAAAGAACTCCTGAACACCAAAAGGTAATTGTGTTTAGGTCACAATGATATTTTTTATAATACTTTCTGATGTATACATAACACAAATCATAACAGGAACAAAATTCGATGGATCATTATTCCATTCCTGATCACGAAGGAGTTATTATGGAAAACGTTGATAGCGAAGATGCTTACACAAAAAACATCCAACTGTCTCATGAGGTGGTGAACCTTGCATAAATTTAAAGTTGCAGTTATCTCATCTGATCTCTGATCATGTTATACTTCGAATTCACAGAACGTGACGGAAGAAGTTCATAGCATTATTGAAAAGATACAACGTATCGAATGTCCTCTCTTTAAGTATAGGGTTGTAAATCTTTCAGTGCGAGATAGCTCGGATCCCGTTAATAAGCTAACGGAATCTGAAAAGAACCTCTTAAAAAAGATCTGGAATTCGGTATCAAAATTTTTTTTCTTGCAAGTTTAGCTTCCATCCGAAATTTTTAACAGCTTTCTTTAATTTCTCGTAGTTTGAGCCTTCGTGTGAAATAAAGAAAATCCGTCTAAATAAATGGGAAAAAGTTTTACAGCCTCTTTTAAAAAAGTATCAAGCCCATTTTGAAAACAAATCGGCATTTGACACAATTTCGTTGGATGACGCCATCAAGGATATTCTTGCGGTATCATATACAGGTATTTTTGTACACAAAGAACACTTTGATATACTGTGGATCCAAGACGTTTATAAACGATTGTAAGTATTCATTATTATTGTTATTTTACATGTGCATATCTAATTTTAATTGGTATCATTTTTTAGTTTATTTCTTTTCAGATCACCTATTAACTTATTATTGGATCATGAGCAAACAGAACTTTCATATCGTGAAGATTTTGTCAATCCAATAATTGCAAAAGTTTTTGATGATATCATGGACCTAATTCGGGTGAAGACGTGAGTTTGAGATTTCATTCTTGTTGAGAAAATTTCCTTTTATTAGGTCTTCTGCCTATCAAGTTTTTTTCCTTACATAGGGGAGAAATCGAAAACAAATTAAGCAAAAATCAACGAAACGAAACTCGGCAATACAAACAAAGAATCCAAATTGGTTGTTATCAAGACGGAATCTATACAATTAATGTTAACGCAACTATCTTTGAGATCGGTTTCTTAGAAGTTGTCGGAAGTGCTATTTATGTTGACATTACAAAACTAAATGAAGACACAGAGAAAATTTTTAAATGCATGCAGATATCTATATTTTACCAACGCCAACATCACTTACAACGTGGAGCGAAAGAGCAACAACTCACTTCCTTGGAATCTTACGGAATTATTGTATATCGTAAGTGACATGGATTTAATATCATATATTAAAGCAAGCTATTGTTGACCTTTTCTTTCATTACCTTAGAAAGAACATTTACGATCTATGTTATGCATCAAAATATGGGCATATATGTCGTTGATAAACTAACCGAATTCAGTATTCCGAACTCAAAGGACCAATTATATGTCCTTAGAGAGGTTATCGAAAAAGTTTACATGTATAAAGTATGGATTGAAAGTTTGATGTCTCATCTGTTTTATGTATTTCATATACAGTACTTAATTTTTTTTGCGACAGAGTCGACTTATGGAATATTACCTTGCAGTGCAAAAGATCACCCCTTCTGCCAATACTTTTACCACTACAAAGGACCGCGTTACCCCCACATAATTCGTAATGTTTACTTGATAAAAAAATAACCCGTCCTTCCAAATGTATTATATTTGAAAAAGTTATAAAAAACAAAATGAAAATCGTGTATGCGTTACAAATAATTTTTTTTTAGTTTATCAGAAAAAAATTATTCTTTTCCAAACTTGTTTGAAATAATATTTTTTGTTGACTTCAGATTATATTTTATTTACAAATTAACATATACAGGAGACAGGGACCCGGAAAAAGTTGAAACCAAATTTTTTCAAATTTTTCCAAATTTTTTTCACTATCAGAATTTAAATATTATTATTTTTGTCATGCATACATCAGTGTACATATAACAGGAGCATTTTTATATAAAAAAATTCTTTAACTTGAACTTGATTTAACTTATAAATTAATTTAAATTAATTTGATATATTTAGTATTTTAAATATTTAATAATCTAATAATATTAATAATAATTCAAATTATTAAATATAAAAATATTTTTATTATATTATTATTATAAATTATTTAAAATCAAAATAAATTTAAAAATTAATTATTATAATTATTAATTTATTAATTATAGATTAGTGTAAAAAAATTTATATCTTAATATAAAAATCAATAATTACTTCTAATAAAAATTATTCAATCTTTATAATTTTTTGTATTAAATAAAAAATAATTTAAATTAACTATTTATTTTATTTTAATTATTTTATTATACTTTAATTTAATAATAAATAAAGTATTACTTTACTAAAAAAAAAACTAAAATAAAATTAATTTTTTTTAAAAAAAAGATATTTTAAATATTATTATTAATATTAGTACTTTAAATTGTACAAATAGATTATTTTAGATTTGATAAATATATATTTTAAATTTTATAAAAATTGAATTAATAATAATAAAGATATTAAGATTTAAAGTTAAATAATTAAATTATTTATTATATAATTTTTATATTAATTTTAATTAAATTTT